AATCAGTGAATTCTTAACGTGATGTAGCCGATACTCTGGAATTTTGCTCGGACGCCTACCTGCTGTGTAGTCGTTGTCCAAGTGGTGTTGCAGAGATGGTGCTACTTATTTGGGATTCATTAATTACTAATCATTTTCCAGATCTTGTAATTTGGAGCCCCTCCCTCTATATATGTTTTTAAAAGCTTATTGAAATAGATTTGGAAATGTACAAAGGAAATTAGACGCATAGGATGAAAAAATTCTTTTTCGGCTAACTTGACTGTGTGAGTATTGGTAGGTAAAAAATATACTCTGAAGAATCCAACTCTTCCCTTCAAAACACCAGTGAAGTTCAGTATTAAAAAGGTACACATTATCACAAAAAATAATGTTGCCAAATTCAATAATGTGGAGTCCTGTAGCTCAGTGGTTAGAACACTCGCTTCGCAAGCGAGAGACCTGAGTTCAATTCCAGGCAGGGCGAAACCTTGGGCAAGTTTCCTTACTCCACACGCCTAATAATAATCCCTCCAAAAAACAAAACAATAATAAATTGGTCATTTTCAATCCATGATCGTTTGTGGGACACTGTTGTGCGCAATTGGCTGTGGCCTTCGCCCACAAATATACAGTCAATTCACTTTACAGTATACTCTGTGAAGCGCTTTGGGATGTCTAGAAGACGTGAAAAGCGCTATATCAAATGCAAGGATTATTATTATTATATCAAATGCAAGGATTATTATTATATTATTATAATAACAAAACAAATTGACATTATCATTTAGTATTTGAATTGTAGATTTGTTGAATCACTCAAAGTAACAATTTATTGCAAAAATAAATCATCCTAGTTATTGTAGAATGCCAATCTGCTAATCTGTTGTAACTATTACACTCAAATATGAGTGTTGAATTATTCTGCAAACATGGTTCATTAACTGTGCAGAATGGACTCCTGGGCAGAGAATTATGTTACATGAACCCCTAGATGGGAAAGGAATATGAGAAGCAGTGTTCCTCAGCCACTTCCTGGTGATAATGACATCCAGTGGTTGAAATTGATGAAGTTCAGTGACACACAGCATCCCTATTTGTCATTCAAAGAAAGATATTTTCTGTTCAGATGAATCTTCAGAATTATAATTAGTCAGCTCACTGAATGTGGAGCGAAGCTGCAGTTAGTAAGATTTGACTTTCACTGACCATTTACTGAGCAGACGCTAAACTTCAACCTTACACCTGCAGTGTGTTGTAAATCACAATACATATTTTCTTTCCACCGTAAACATTTTGGAGCCCAACCCAAAACACCAAAATCGGAAAATATTTAATTTCCAATAATGTTCAGAGAACATTGATGATTGCCTGGCTAGTCTGTGTTTTTTTGGGGGGTTGCCGAGAATAGATTGTTGAGCTAAACGTTCCGGGATGCTATATAAATGCAAGTTGTTGTTCTTGTAGATTGATGCATTGAATCTTGGATCACAAGAATTGTGCCTGAATTACAAAGCAGACATTTTCCTTCTCTGTTCCCCCATTATTGTGGTCCTAATTTTCTATTAGATGAAACCAGTCAGTTATATCCAATTGGCCAACTAAACAATCATCTAATTGTCTTACAAAACTAAAAAAAATTATTGTTCAATGTAGAATTACGTCAGTCTTTAGCACTCTCCTGATAAACCAGAATCATAGAATTACATAGAATATACAGCACAGAAACAAGTGATTTGGCCCAACTGGTCTATGCTTGTACTCCTTGTAGTAGTAAGTACCATATTCCCACCACTCTGGGTAAAGAAATCAGCCTACCTCTGGAATTGCTCGTGCCAGCCTGGCTCAATTGGTAATCAGAAAGTTTGGGGTCAAGCCCCATGTTGGGACCTTGACCTCATAATCTAGGCTAATGCTCTAGTGCAATACCAGGGAAACAGTGAGGTCTCAGAGGTGTTGTCCATCAGATGAGGTGTTAAGCTATCTGTCTGTGCAAGTAAAAGTTTAAGGTACCACTATTTGAAAAGAGAATGAGTTTCTCCTTCTGTCCTAGCCAACAAGCCCCAGTTTAAAAAAATAGTTGTGCATTCACTTTAAAGCTGATTTGTGGGCCATTGCTGTGATTAGTGTAAATTGGCCGCTAAGTTTAATTAGATACAAATCACTGCAGTTGTTAAACTCTGTGAAAGACTTTGAATGTTTTGATGCAATAATGCACTATATCAAATGCAACAATTAGTATTATTAATTATAAGAGTAGTTTCCTGCAACCCAAAACAGATGTCAAAGAATTCTACAGCAAATCAGCTAGGCAGTAGGTCAATGAGCTTCTTAAATAAATACAGTTGGACAATAATGAAGTGGTTGCAAAGCTACATTAAAAATTATATTCAACTAGGTAAAATTGGATTTCTTCACATCTCTCCTGACTTACTTCTTGGCTCACCCCATAAGGCCCACAACAGCTTTATGGATTTTGTGTGGGAAAGTAGAAGCATATCTGAGAAAATGATATGCAGCCAAGTGAAAACATGTACAACTTCATAACATTCTTCTTTTTCATTCCAAACAGCAGTACAGAATTTGGTCTCACTGTATGACAGTGCAGATTTTTCTGAATTGTAACAAGAGCGTACCAGGAACATCTTTATTTTGTCATTTTATTGACTTGATCTAGATTGGCCAGCTTGTCATGGTCACAAATTAGACCTGGAAGTGAATAGATCTTCTCAACTCTGTGAGCCAAAGGTCCAATGAATTGGTTAGTCCTGGCTGGACAGTGATGTGAAATGTCTCAGTCATTAATACTCGTGAGCTATGTGGGTAGGGCTGGGCTTGGGAAGACTTCAGAAAGGGTTTGAAAATTAAACATCAATGGTCTCTGTACTCATTTCTTCAGTGGGAGAGGGAAAAAAAAGGTTCCCCTTTGCTTTATGTATCTGGCCACAAAACCTGGCCCTCTGAATAAACCTCCTCTTCAAAGTGATCAATGTGATTCTGAACTTACTTTGAATATTAAATTAAATAATTATTTGAGCAGATCCAATTCTTTTCCAGTTTAACTGATTTGCATAACAGATTTTCTTCCAACAGAACCATTTTTATTCCAAACAGCGGTACAGAATTTGGTCTCACAACAGCACTAAATATTTAAGCACATGCAGCATTGTCCCCAAACACATGCAATAACTCTGATCGAGTAGCTGTAGGTGTGTTGAGGTAAAAATTTCACTTGGGTTTAGATTTACTCAATTTTCTTTGCGTCCATAAAATACAGTCAATCTATTTTACAATATATTCTGTGAAGCGCTTTGACACGTCTCAACGACGTGATAAGACGCCATATCAAATGTAAGGATTATTAGAATATACAGTTATTTTAGAACATCCAGAATCTGGCATATTTTTAAATAGTCTTAATTCTAAATCTTATTCTTGGGTGTTTTTTAAGCAATACAGAAACACAGCTTCAGAGTTGAAATGATTTCAACAATTTATAAATTCTGCATGATCTGAAATGCTAAGAAAATAAGAGTAAATCTATAGACTCAGGTGGAATTTCTCCTCAGTTGTCTCTTAAAACAATAAGCTTTTAATCTGATGAACTAGTCAATGGGGAAAATCTTTGGTGTGTGTTAATGGGATTTCCCACACCAGAATTTTCCCTTACAAATTTTCTTAAGCACAACATCCCATGGCTTTATTATTTTACTGAACAGTGATCATAGCTGCGATTCACTCAACAAAATATTTTAAGAAAAAATACCAACATCATCATACAGGAAAACCTATATATATGTGAATTTTTTTACATCTGAAATAGTATCTATAATGCTGAAACGTCTCAAAGAACTTCACAAGCAATTGCTGTCATAAGTAGTGGCATGTGTATTCGGAGGGGGGGGTTTGGGGAGGGGTTGGTAGCAAACAACAAGTTGATACATTTTCCAATGTTTTGATTTTAAACAAGAGTATTTGAAAATAATACTGTCACTTAAAAACATGAGTAATACTTTGTTTGAAGCATTTTAGAAATGGTTACTTGAATTTAAAAGTTATTTCAATTTAACTTTTCAATCACTGACATTGGGGTACTTCACTTCACCTGGGCATGGGTTAACCCTGGATGGTTCCTGACACGTAATCATTCGATGTCTCTGAGACAACTCAACGGGTGGTGATACTCAACATTTGGTCTGTGTACACGACATCAGATGCTGACCCAGTCAAATCAGTCAACCTTTCAAGTTACAAGTCCCAATTGGTTGGAAAAAGATCTTGGGTGTTGGCTGTCAGCCAGGAGAAGACCAATTGTGAATGGTGTGCATCTAACTTTCAGCATGGACAGTTGGTAAAGCACACAAAAAGAATAATTGGAGTTAAACATCAATAAAATGAAGAGGGAAGGGTTTAAAAATTAGAAATGTGAAATACAGAGAAAATAGGAGGGAAATAGGGATAGAGAAAATACTGGAGTGTATTTTAGTGTGTTAAGAGTGTATGAATAAAAGAACTTATAAAATAAGAGAGGCATAGCCAGTCAGCCTGATGTTCTCTACAACTGGTTTCAGCTTTGAAGGTTTGATACAATTCCCGTGTAATATTGAGCCAGTAATTCCTCTAACCCAGGTCCCTCAATGACATCAGCATTCATTCAAATTCAATTTGAAAAAAATGCGCAAGAACTAAACGGAATCAGAAAGATAGAAAAATATAAAATTAATCATAATTCTTAAGTTTGAATTTTAAAAAGGGTACTAAGTGGTAACATTTGCACACTTTAAAATATGTAAAGTAACAGTCATCTGGGAGACAAGTACAGCACTCACTATATTTTGGGAAGATGCTTGTGAAACATTCATATAACAACAAATGACAAATATAAATGAAACAGGGGAGATAAAATGCAAGTAAAATGACCTTCAAGTATTTGCTCCCCACCAGTGTTTCCATAAAGGATAAAGCAACACTTTTATGAAGTTACTAAGAAAAACGCATTCAAGGCACATTATGGGCCAGGGTTCATTCATTAATATCGCCATTGCGTTTTATTAGAAATAAAGGAATTCCATTAATAGCTATGCAAGAGCAGAGGCTCAAGCCCCTTCTCCTGTGCCTCAGATACCCTATTTGATCGCCTCTCAAGTCTCTTCATTCATTACTTCTCTATAACTATAGTGCATTTGTCCTGGTTTGTTTTGGACTAATATTAGCTTTTTTTCAATGACTTTATTCCCCAATTTCTTCTTAATGCAGATTTACCATTATTTCATTGTGTAGGAGGCAATTAATGGTTGTATTAACCTTTATAGTTTTATGGATAGAACAAAACATTTCGAGGACATTCTCCAGTTTTAAGACTCATTCTCTGGTAGTCTAGCTCCATTTGGTCCATTTCTATGTGTGATTCTCACTTATGGATCTTGCTGCAGTTAAGCTTGACTGCATTTCCACACAAAGCAATGGTTTCTAAATGACATTGGGATAATACAGCGAGCACAGCAAAATGTTTTGTCCAAATGCTGGAAAACGCCGGAATGCTTCCCACCTGTCTGCAAATATGTTGTACTTCAGGAATACCCTGTGTTCGAGACTGGTTGACAATGTAATATCTCTGCTTATGATGTATATTCCATCATTGTGCAACGTACAAGTTAAATTTAGTCCAGATTTAGATGTGTTTTCCTTGAGGTAGAGCCATTCCCTTGTAGTCACATTGTAGGACTGCACTATAAACATGTCTTCAGTTTGGTTACCCTTCCTACTGCCACCTTTTTCATGGATGCAGCCACCCACAAGGTAAATCGTATCTTCCAAGGAAACCATCTGCTGTTTGCGAATGTGGATCTCACAAGATTCAAACACCGTCCAGGTATCAGAGGTAGGGCAGTACTGCAGTATGTTCATATTCCTGTCTGAATTCAAAAATGATTGAAAAGTTAATGTATTGATAGTGTTTGGAAAAGACGTACAGAATTAGAACATATGCAGAATTATAAAGTAGATTTTGTGACATTGTTAAGTTGGAGATGCAGTTTTAAGAAATAAAAGCATGAAAAACTTCATTATTTTAACCTGAAGACTGTTATCTTAATATTTAAACTGACCGAAGGCACGGTCGAAGAGAATGATCTCACAAATATCATAGTGAAGTTCTGTAGCTTAGTGGTTAAAGCAATCGTCTCGCAAGCAAGATGACCTAGGTTTGATTCCTTGGTGGGGCGAAACATGAGGCAAGTTTCCTTACTCCACGTCTCTGTTTACCTAGCAGTAAATAAGAACTTGTTTGTTAATCGATTGGCGTATCACTTTTCTGGGGATAATAATCCCTTCCAAAAAAAATTATATTTTTTAAAAATAATAATTTGGTCACTCAACCCATGACTGTTTGTGGGAAACTGCTGTGCACAATTCGCTGCTGCATTTCACCCACAAAATACAGTCAATTCACTTTACAGTATATTCTGTGAAGCACTTCGAGACGTCTTGAAGATGTGATATATCAAATGCAAATATTATTATTATTAATACCTATCACCACCAAATAGTTCAATCCATGGTTTAAGAGAATGTACAAAAACTGTACTGATGTCAGGTTGAGGCTGGAGTTTCATTACATTTTTATTGTTCCCGATCCAAAGAGTCAGCAACTCAAAAAGAGTACACTTGTGCCTCAAATAACATTTCATTCCAAGACTAGCAAGAGGGTGAGTGTCTGGTATTGCAATCGATTAGCACACTGTTCTTTAAACTCTGAAACCTATGTTCGACTTCAGCCATGTGGGCTTGGTGCAACTCTCCTCTGCCATTAGCAAATGTCTTTTATGATAAACAATTTGCCAAGTGCAATCAGTCTGCTCCCATGCTAAATTTGAACACAGGGTTCAGAGCTGAAAGAATTACACTGAAACAGCAACCCTGCCTGCAAAAAAGTGACAGGCCTTTTCTGAGTTACATCCCACAATGTTCTAGTCCACAAGCTCCCTGATTAATTGCTCCCTTATGGCAATTTGTGGGATCTTTGGTACCAATAATAAATGACTGCCATGTTTACAATCAAAATCAGTCAGTAAACCTAGGCAAAACCTTAGGCAAGTTTTCTTACTCCACATACAGAAGTTGGCATGTTGGGAGGGCGAGGCTTTTAAGGGCTAACAGAGAGGGGGAGGCAGAGCAAGGAAGACAAAGGGAAAAAATGGGGTAGAGGACAGGGAACATAAGAAGGGAAACAGAGAGCAAAGAAGGTGAGCAGGGTAAAAGGGAAGAACGAACGTCACATTGAAGAGGAAAGCAAAACTTCTTCAAGGTAGGCATTCCTAGAAGAGAAGTGAAAGTGAATTAAATATAAACAAAACACAAAATACTGCAGATGCTAGGAATCTGGGGATCTGCACATGACTGCTTACTGAGCAGTAAGAAGGAACCTAATTATTTGTCGATTGGCTTTCCGGGGACAATAATTCCTCTGGTCCCCCCACCCCCCCAAAAAAATTTGGTCACTCCATGACGTTTAAGTGGGATATTGCTGTGCGCAATTGGGTACCCTGCTTTGTCCTGCGCTTTGAGACATTTCAACGATGTGATAAGGCACTATATCAAATGCAAGCACTATTAGTCGTTTTAAAATCCCTCCTCTTCAAGCCCAAAGATTATAACAGTGTTAGTTCACCTCTTGTAGTATATCCACCCATGACGTAAATCATCCCTTTGCATTCACAAGCTGAGAACTCCACAAGAGGATATGGCATCGAGGCTACAAAATTCCACCAGTCCATCTCAGGATTGTAGCACTCCACATTGCAAAGTGATTGACCACCAACTGCGTACAGTTTGCTGCCTACAGACAGAAGTTTAAAATTTGATCTAAAGGGAGAGAAACCAAAGGGTTTTTAAGTAGAGAATATAAGGATTATTATTATAAAATATTTAGCATTAGACATGGTTTATTATAGTCACTGATCTTAAAAATATCCAATTTTTAAGAGAATCTATGAAAATAGACTAGAGTATTCTATTTTATTGCCATTTAACTGTAGAAATTATAATTGTTTTATCCAAGCCTGATTCTCCACCCAACATCCAGACATTCACTTTCCGTTAAATACTTCAGTGATCAAGAATGCGGATCCTAGCTCACTTTTCCTTTCCCTGGCCCAATGGCTCCATTTGGAGGCGACATATGGTTGATCTATTTAGTTTTAAACACAACCACTTGCAGATCCTCCTTCGGATGACTAAATTGTCTTAATTAAAATTATGCATTGCAAATAGAAAGATTGTGTAAATGTGTTTATCTTACAACTGGAATAAACATGGAAATTGGCTATAGAAAAAAAATCTTAAAAATTGTACTCAATCATGCAAGAATAGGGGAACTCGGAAAGACAGTAGTTTTTACACATGCTCATAAATCCATTAGAGCATTTCTTTTTAAAAATCTGGCGAAATTGTTTGTAGGAATGATGAAGTCACTCAGAAGAGTAACCAGAGCAACCAACATGTTTAATTGGAAGTCCAGGCAACCGAAGGACAGTACTCAAAGCTTCAATAGACTATCAGAATGAATGTTTAGCATGATCCACTTCATTCAGAGGTGACTTTGTGAGATAAATTTGCTACATTAAAAAAAAATTCTGGAACAAAGGACGATTTGTTATAACACCATGTGGAAAGACTGAGTTTGAGGAGAAACTCAGTCTTTGTACCTTTTCTGATTCATTGGTGCAATCTGGTCCCACTCATTTTTGCAGGCGTTGTAGCAATGAGCAGCAGCAATTTCCTGACTCGTCATCCTGTATCCCCCAACAATGAAAAGGTAGTTATCCAGGACTGTGGAACCATAACCTCTTACATTCACCATGTCCGGAGGGAGGCTGTTGGCAAGGGGAAGCCATCTTTGTATCACCTCGTCGTACCTCAGCATTGACCATGGCTCATCTGGAGCCAGATCCAAAGAAGTGCTAAATAAATCGCCAACCGCCACCAGTACAGCTGTGCCTTTGAGGCGCATCTCCTTGATCTGTTGGCGCAAGTTGCTGGGCAGATGTCGGAATTCTTGTTTCCTGAGCATGGGATGGTAGTACCACACCATGAATTTGAGAGCAGCATTCATCAGATCACTGATACCATAGGTCTCTGAGAGTTTGTACAACTCCACGCAATTTTCCAACTTGATCTCAGAGAGGAGCAGCTTCAAGATGGAAGTCACCTGAAGGAAAGAAGCTGTTTCGACCAGATCTTCCAAGGTCTCATTCTCAATGTGCACTTTGGAGGTGTTGATGAATTCAATGACCAGCTCCAGCCCATGGACGCTCAAACCTTGCAGTTGGACCGAATCCTCCTCAGATTCCTTCATCCCCGAGTTGTAGAGGGCTCTGAAATAGTCGCTTTTCTCAATGAGCTTACTCTTGCTGACATTGTAGGTCTTGTCTTCTATGGTGATCGCAATGACTTCTTCTGATGACATGGTACCGATCCTCAGGACCAGCACCCTGAAGTGGACTGGGTCTTTCTTTTTCTCTTAGGCTTTATTTACTGCAGATGTATCCGGACTTGCGCACTGTCTCCTCATCTCAGGTCCTAAAGAAGGGCAAAGGCGTGAGTTTCAGAGGGTGTGTTGAGCAGTCGTGCCCCCGCACGGGTTAACTGCACCCAGGAGCTCCACTGCACGATTCGCGTGCATTCCGGCTATTCTCTTTCGTGCACTATTTTGGAGTGAATCCGTGCAAAAAAAAAAGAGAGAACTGGCAATTCTGCTGCTTTCTCTTCCATCCCCTTGCCTGGTCGGTTTGGTTATCGTCACTTCTCGTTCCGTTTTCCCAGCCAATCTCTTGACTCTAAAAGGCAACACAACCTTGCAGCAAACTGTGCGTTTCTCACTCTTTTGCCCATTTAAAGACACACCGACCGTTTTGATGGGTCATGAAATAAATCATATATATATATGTGTGTGTGTGTGTGTATGTTTTTCTTTCTGTACGTCGTTTGATCTGCTGCAATCCAGTCCCGCAGTCACCAGCTCCCTATATAAATTACTGGCTGTAATGTTCCCAGTGTTGCTTTGCATACATTGGGCATCTTTTCCAAACAAAATGGAAATTGACTCTTCATTTAAACAGAGCACGAGAATTTTTTTAAAAAAACAAGGCAGACACCATTTCTTAAAGAGAAAGTCTGTCTTCACCTGACCTTCTCATTGCTCCTTTGTTTTAAAAAGAAAAAAACAATCATTTTAATATATTTTGTGTTTTCTCTTGATTTATAATACTTGCATTTGATATAATAATCCTTGCATTTGATATAACGCCTTATCACGTCTTTTGAAACGTCTCACAGCACTTTACAGAATATACTGTAAAGTGAATTGACTGTATATGTTGTGGGCGAAATGCAGATTTATTCTGCATTTTTTTGTTTAAATCATGAGTGCTATTGTTGTTATTGGACTAACTGACCAGAAGGTGTTTCTCCATGTAATGGTTTGAGGGAACTGAATTAACACATGTGTAGATGTTCAGTCATTAATCTCTGCCAATAAATTCTCTATCTCTATTTTTATATCTACCTCTTGGCCTAGCATTCCTCTCTTGATTCTATCACTAAGACTTGATGTTTATGCCTGACCAAAAAAAATGCAAGTACAAATATTGTAAGATGAACCACAGCAAAACTTCCACTCTGAGGAAGAGTGCAGTCATCTCAGAATTGAAGTACATCAACCAGGAATCTTCAATACTGCACAGTGTAGTAAACTACATGGTTCTTAGAAAACAGAAGATAATACAACTACTTAACAAGCCTGCTTCTCTCATACTTAGGCGACAAACCTAGGATGTTGTTATCTCAAATGATACAGATCGAAACTGCATTGAAGAGCATCTAGGTAGTACCCACCTGTGTCTTTGGGTTTGATTCTACTGTCTACTGATAAGAACATTTACTCCCTCTAATAATTATAAAAGTTTTAAATGGCATGAGTGTGGGGCAGTCTTACAGCACGGAATGCCACAATCAGCACAAAGGATTATTAGCTTTAGTTGAAGAGACTATGTAAATAGCTGGTGCGGAATAAAAGCTCACATGGGTAAAGGATGCTTTTCTGAAAGGTATGATGGAGTGCAGTAGCAGGAACATTGCTAAAATACTTTATCTACATTGGCTTGTCATAACTGGAGAACTTCTCATTTCGAATACAAGAAGATGACATATGTGTGTCATAAGTGAAACTTGCATTGAATTTTATGTGTATATGGCAGGATTGTATACACAGTAAAAACAGGCTACAGTGAGATTAACATTATTTTTAAATGCTTTCCTGAAAATCTCTTCTGGCTGGAGGCAACAGCTGTCAACTCTCTCCACCCATTATCCAAATGAGAAATCTCAAAGGCAGGACTGTTTTGTAAAACAAGTAACTTTTGTTTAACAACAATCGGAATTGTCTCCTTGAGTTTGTATCTAATGCAGAGATGACAAATGATAAGAAAATTGAGTCGGTGAAATGTCATATTTTGCTGAGATTGAGGTGCATTTTCGTAATTGGCATGAGTTGACATTGACTCCCTTTATCAAAGTAAATCCATTATGTATGACGTCCATTCAACTGTCCCAGTTTTGACGAACAACGTTTTCTTTCAGCATTGGTAAATGGCTACAGTGCTTACCAGAAGGAATTCCTCAACTCTTGTGCAATCTCCCTCATCAGGGTTAATCCTTTAAAATGCAAGTGGTAACAAAGTTCATCCACTGTAGGTGTATGTTGCTTACCAACAGTGTTAGTGCGTAGAGCTAGTTTATCTGGTTTGCTGTAGCCTGTCACTGAATATATTTATTTTAAAAAATCTCACTCACGTGTTCACATGTAAAATAATATTGTGTTTAAAAGCAATTCAAAAGCCATTACCGATAGGGAGAATAATACATATCATCCAAACTTAACTCACAAGTTCTGTTCATGATGATTTCAGTTCCGTAGCATTTTGAGCGACAGGGTCGGTTGAAAATCTCCAACAATTTACTGAAATTTACTTAATCTTGGGGATCAGTTGTTGGTGAACGAGCGGTGGATAACACATGACGAGTTATATAATTAACGATGTATCCAAAAATCTGTTAAAAATCAGACCGACAGTTTTCTCCTCTGTTTTGTCACCAACACAGTTTGCAATTGTGACTTATGGAGAGGCAAAGCCCCATAGCGTTTCAATGGCCGTTAATTATTGCTACTTTAATTTGTTCTGTCTTCCCCTCAAACAATATTTTGAACCATCGGTGACGAAATGTTTTTAAAATGCACTTCTCGGTTTAACTTTTCCATCAATGATGTTCAGTGTGTAGCTGATATTTGTGTGACAGGACAGGACAGGACTGGCAGGGAAGAATAGGGGACAAATTCCTTTGTCAAGCTCAGATCTCTCCTGACATTCAGAAACATCTCACGCCTCACCTTCTCCAGTGCCAGTGACTTCAATATATCATTGAAGTCGTGCCACTCTGGCGCAGAAACAGCTTCTCACCTCAAAATGCGAGAGAGCCGCCGATTTTGAGGACTGTTCGTCAGTTTCCATCTGACCACCCACACAAGCGATGATTCTTACACTCGCCCTGTTGATGTTTTTTCGGCTTTTGCACAGATCAACCTCTCGGTGTTCGCCTACAGTGTTCTATAGAAACTGCTGGATGCACCGTCTCCCTGGGGTACTCGTTGATTTACAGCTTTCCATGAGCAGAGGAGCTCATCTGGTGAATTATTATCATGAAAAGACAGCCGAACAGTGCAGCAGGACTTGCTGTCTCCTCCAGAACGGTGAGTTTGACAGGCTCATAAAAAAGCCTCCTTTATCTCCTCCCCCCACCACCACATGAAGGTTGCTAAGCGTTTTCAATCCGTCTTTAGTTACTATCTTCCAAGTTAATTTAATTACCCACATTTGATCAAAAATAAGCACGACCGTTACTAGTAATCGTGGATATTTGTTACCTTTGATCAATCCACCTCGCTCAATAACGAACAGGCTGGACTAGGGCATGAGGAAAGTTAGGAAACAATTAGAATAAAAATCGAATAAGTAACTCCTTGAACAAAAATAGAAAATCACTCAGTATTTCACTCAGATATATACTGTTTCTGACTCATAACCACCACACCCCCCCAACTAATCTCAATGCCATAAACTGAAAATGTTTTCTCTTTAGAGAGATTTGACATTTTGTGTTTTCAAAATGAGTTTGGAAAGCGTATACCCGAGAAGCAAACATGCTTAAAAGAAAGGGGGGAAAAGTCACTGATCGATAAAACTCACTTTTGACCAAAGCTTAAATTTCATGAAACTGAACCCCTTCCCTTTCAGCAGTAACAAAGACGGTTGTGTTCCTGCTGTCTCAGACTAGCCCAGGTGTTGAACCTTTCCCGGCACGTTGGGACCTACTCTACATGTTTTCATTCAATCTCCAACAATTGCTGTACTTTTCTTTTCCTCTCGCACATTTCAAGTACCTACTTTCTGTGCTCCCGCTATACACACAATCAACCAATTCACTCTCCAGTCCAGACGCGGTTTGTTAGTCCCGCGGATCGTTTCCTGAACACCTGCACACTCCCCAGTAAAGCTGTGGGTTTATGAACAGCAGACGTGCACTCCCTCACTCTCCACCTCCAATAAGAGCAATATTCGTGGGACATGGGTGTGCGCAAATTGGCTAAACCGCTTTCGCCTACAAATACAGTCACCGTAAATCAATGCAAACTTTATTATTATTTAAGGTCACGTTTCTACATTCTGAGAACCTAACTGACTGCTGATTTCTATTTCTTTCAGGTTTATGTAACACAGCAGTCTTCAACTTTGCCCCGGGTAGGGACACTTACAACTGTTTTCATATCAACTGCCCGACTCAGAAGACTTGCATAATGAGGAGGAAGAGCAGCTTTCTGCTGTTTAACATTACAAAAGGTGAGAAAATGGTTCCATTCAACGTTCATGGCAACAGTCGTAGCAATAATTTTTCAAAATTAAAAAAATGCTCACGGTTAGAGATAAACAGTGAAACTCTTTCTGGAATTGTGTTGATTTCGAAACGAGCAAATAGGCAGCGAATCCTAATGCGCAGCAGTTTATTCAGCTGAAGCTGTTGCTGTGATTCTGCGACATTGCCTCGTGTGTTTAATGTTGCTCTGATTACTGTTGTCCTGTTGGGTGATTTCACTTCTCGTTTTCTTTTCACAGGGGAGGACCCGGATTTGCTCATTTTTGGAAATGATCGGAATAAAGGGAAGGAGATGAACTCTGTTTTTTATACCAGCGCATCTGAGTCCAATAATTCAGAACCCCCTGGGTGGGACAAGCATCGACACTATAACAGGTATACTGTGTCCCTTCCACCGCGCACACCTCTTCCCACTCAACCCAAGCAGCCGCCAAAGGCATATTCTCTCCCCAACACCAGCCACGCACCCAGCAGCCGAACGATCCCAACAGACCCACCAACAGCTCCAGCTTCCAGCGAAGGCGACAAAAGCACCGACAGAGCCACGCAGGTCACCTTCGAGCCCTTCCACTACTTGACTGCTTTGCCGCAGGAAGAATCCACTGGTCTGACGGGGACCCATGTGCTCAAGCCCCTCACTGGCATCCTCATCCCAGGGCAGGCGAACAACACCGAAGGAACTGCTGGCGAGAATCAGACAACTGATAACGATACGGGGGTTGTAGCACCCCGGCGGTGGGGCCCGGCCACATTGCTAACTCCTTTGCTAATCCTGTCTTTAATCTTGCCGCTCTGTGTCTGCATTTTCTTGTGGGCAGCAGCACGCTGCAGGAGGAAGAGAGGTTACTATAAACCTATTCACATCCTGGGACAGCAAACGTAAAACATGTCCACCGCTCACCAGTCTAATTCATTTGGTTTCTCTTGCATTCCATTTCAATGGCACAGTATAAATACAGATTACAATAGAATACTTAACACAATCCACACCCCACCCCCGTGCCATCGTATCTAAATGCAAATTAGGGGAAAGCAAACTGATATCAGAATGAAAACATCTTTAACGTTTGGAATAATTTAGCGAGCGAGATAATAGAGGAAATGCATTGGCATTAAACTACAATTAGCTATTCTGGTGATGGGTGAAGAGAGAGAGAGGTGGAGCAGAACCTGCACGACTCTGAAGGAACAAAGATCATTCTCCCACTGCAAGACGATCCACAAAGGATTGCATTCTCTCAGGCCTTTTTAAGGATTAGGAGATTATAATAATTTTTAAACCGTTGGCACATTTGTAGAGTAAGTGCAACAAATCTCATTACAGCACACGAGGCGTAGAGAGCTCCAAATGTTTTCTATCTGCCATATTGCTTTCTAAATCAGATACACGTTAATTGCTTGAGATCTTTCGAACTACTGTCATAATTTGTGTATACCATGATACTTTACAATTGAGAAATAAACTCTAAACTGTGATCATTGGAAAATACCTTAAATAGATGGACAAGAACATTATTTTATGAACTATTGGGCTGTTTGCTACCATGCTTGGTAAGCTTCAATAAAATGGATGCAGAGGGAAAGCAATGCATTTTCACACTGAAGTTTGATGGGTCCATTTCAAATGTGTCAATATACTGTCTGTGCATATTCACTTCGAAAAAAACAATTTGATCTGACTGAGCATAGGCAATCAGGTATATGATTATCTCTTTGGGGCAAAACTGGCTAACAAACCAGCCTGCCCATGCCAGGCAAGCTAAAGTCATCATATTCAACATTTGAAAGGCCAGACAAAAGCATGAAATTTGCAAGTCAATCTCAAACTAGGGTTGGTGGTTCCAACTGAACAAGCATCAAGTTGCCTGACTACAATTTTTAATGTTTGTAATTAACCTGCTTGCTTAATAAACCTCAAATTTGCAATTAAAACTTCTCTAGTATTTTTCTTGTTTTTCTAGTTTTTTTAAATTTGCTGGTCATTTTGGGCTGTTTTTCATTTCTGTGAGCCATGAACACAAATACAATTTTCATTTATATAATAGCTTTCACATCAGGTGGACAAAGCGTTTCATACAGCTAAATTGCAGGAAATTACAATTGGACCATAAACATGACAGGAATATAACTTGGTAAATGAATATATTGAAGAGACATGTTTATTAGAATTATGGTAGTTTCATTATAAGCACAATGGGAGAGGCAACAATCACATTGTTAATATACAAACATCAATAATGTATCTTGGTGGAAAAGCTACATTACCTGAATGGGTTTAATTTGCATGATTGACAGTTTGCAGTGTCATGTGAAACATTAATTTCTCATTTAAACGATCAGGTTGCAGCTTGCAAGTTTAGCAGCTTTTTCACAGATTCTTTATACTGTAATAGATTATGGTCAGTTCCTCCGATATTTTTGATATTCATCACCGCGTTCCTATAATCTTTCACTTCGGGAGAGTTGATTAGTTCTTCCTTAGGCACCTCTGGGAATTTTTCAGCCTCTTTCATTCTAAAGAGAGTCTTCAAGACATTTTTCTCAGACTGACTGTTCTCCCAAATATATTCATCCATATCAGCATCAGTTTTGTCCATCTCCCATGCTTCTGTTTTCTGCAGGCGGAGTTGGAGAAGAGAGCATGGGAGGGGTGAGAATGGGGAGGAAGAAAAATAATATATTGACAATGTCATTCTTGGAAGCAATTGAAAACGAGGACACAAGAAGATGGGGCAAATGAATGGTTCTTTCCCAAAACATTTGGAATATATGATTTACAATTACATGTATAATTACATAGAATATATAGTACCAAACAGACCATTTGGCCCTTGAACTTCTCTGCAGAGGTGACTATGCATTTAATGATTGGAGCCAAACACTCAGACACTCAGACTGTCAACGCACGTCATATGGAAATAACAAGTCACTTAAATTCCTTACAAGCTGACAGTGCTGCACTATTGCTTTACCACCAGCACAAAAACAGACATGTGCCACTTCAGTTACTGGACAGACTGTCTCATGAGAAGTAATAATAATAATAATCCTTGCATTTGATATAGCGCTTTTCACGTCTTCTAGACATCCCAAAGCGCTTCACAGAATATACTGCAAAGTGAATTTGCTGTAAGGGTGACTAAGGACACAACAACCACAAATGAGATTTTATTTTCAGCTGCCAAGCCATGTGACATAAGCTCTATATGCTCCTAAAGCTTATTGGAATTTGGCTAGAAAGGGTATTTTATTTCAAACCAGCCTTTTTGTTTTTCTGCTGTTTTGTAGATAATACAATTTTGAATATAATAATCCTTGCATTTGATATTGCGCTTTTCACGCTTCAAGACGTCTCAAAACTATATATACTCACAAAGTACAGTATAACAATATTTTCAAACTGAGTAAGTCAGTGGCTAATTCTGCATAATAGTTAACATTCGGCAGTTATATGCTGTATTTACTTGATTATGGGGTGTTTTTTCATTGAAAAGTATCATAGGGTGCAGAATATTATCAATCTTAAATTGCAGTAAAATTCATTCATGCGCAAACCCTCGAGAATCTGCTTTCGGGGTTCGGGGAGGTCATAAATTGTAGCGAATATGGTAATTTTTCCATTGCTACCACCACTGGGGCTTATTCAGGCTTAGAAGCGATAAATGTAAGAGCAATTAAATACTTCATAGCGCATGTCAATGCTAACTGCAATTAGCAGTTTGGATGGTGTGTACCAGTCAATCAAACCTGTAAGATTTATTCTTCCTTGACGTAAGATACTGTGTTCAATTACCTTAGCCAAGAACTGATTAAAAAAACTCATTGAATAAGAGCAAGAGTTGAAAGCTGAGGCAGAGAAAACTTTCTGACAATGCAGAATTTTATTTATTCAGCTGACTGACATCCATTTATCCTATAATGGTTGCTCTGTAATTATATTACTTTTAATGACAGACATGTCGTTATTTTTATATGAAAACATCAAAGTACATTGTACTATTTCTGGCAATTATGAAGTGCTCATTTTTGGCACCTTGCAACAAGCTTCTATCTCATTCATCTTTTGGAGTACAAATAACAAAATCTGTTTGGCTTGTCATTCAACCCAATTAGTCCACGTTGGTGCTTAAAATTCAAGGAAATAACTTTAGTACTGATCAGCTTTCTTGAGAGGAAGATTTAATTGTTTCTCACCAAAGGCTGACCAAACTGTTAATTCCAAAGAGGAAATAAATGATGTTCTCAAGATTTCTAGGTGAGAAATGGTTGACAGCTGTTAAAAGCTATTTGGACCCTGAAGCTTTATTTTGAAATATACCATACCCCCAAGATACCCTCAAAAGGGTCTGCATGTCTCCAGTGTATGGTGGGTGCAAATAAAATTAGGTGTCAGGTGCTTTAAGAATACCCTTTCTAGTCTAAAGAGGGAATTAAATATTTTCTACAGTTAATGTAAAAGGCTGCCATATATCCTTCTCCAAACCTGCTAAGAATAGACTCTTGATTCATATATGAAGAATAACAACTTGGGACAAATCTTGAAGTTGGCACACAGAAGTCCATACTAGAGCATCAGCCACTGCCTTCCAGAGGAAAGGTAAAGGGAAGAATTTGGAAAAACAAATGTTGTTCACAGTAGGCTCACTTGGGGGCAGCAACTCTGCAAACATAGCTCAAGAGACATCATGTTGCTGTAACTTAAATAAATTAACCTAGAACAGCAGATCCTTAAATTTATTATTTCCATTTTTATAGAGTACTGATTTTCAATATCTTTCCAGATTTTTCAACATTTTTAATATCTTGGGTGGAACAGATTAGTCTTCACATCAGTCAAGAAATCAAATAAGCAAGGAAGAAAATACTGACATGCGACTAAGTCTGAAGTAATTAAAAGTACAGGCAGATGTCTGAAGCACTACTAGCAAAAAGCATCAGAAATGCACTCTGCAGAATTTGATATACTATTTTAAATATAGAAACATAAACTATACAGAGCATAGTACCCAATAAACTAATCTGACTCTCTCAGGAATTAGCTTTTATGTCTTAGAGAACGAGGGATAGAAGGAAACATTTTTAATATGAAAATAGATGTATTACATATAATATACTTACATAGAAAATGTTTCCTAAATATAACAATATAAAAGTATTTTTTTCTGCCCTCAAATCCTGAAAAAGCAAAGAATCTAAATATCTTCCATATTGTACAAGGCATTTTTCCTTCCCACCCTCCCTTAAATAGAAATGTATTTGTAACCAACGCTTTAACTGGGAGCTCGGCTAAAGTCAGCGGTTAGACATGTAAACAAAGCATTATACACCATTCTGACTGACCTTTTCTGTTCTGAATAGAGTAAATCAACCAACACAGAAAACTGCATTACTTTCCAAGTTCATAGTAGGATACTGTTTTAAACATGATAAACTGACAGTGTCTAAGCCTTAGGCAAAGAACAATTTTTATCCCTTGCAAGAAATTGGGTTATTAGTTTCATGATTGGACAGATAAAACATAAGTTACAACGATCTGTCTGTTGTGGTGCTGGTATTTGGTAGAGTGAACTTGCATTGTTGCTTTGAATATTCTATTAAATTCATACTTATACAATTCAATGGAAATGCCACTTTTTTTTTTTAAAAAAAGGTTCTAATACAGACACCTATGTTGGTCAGAGATCAATTATAGCCTTAACTTATAATCCAAAGGTGCTTTGGTCAGCCAGATGTCCGATACATGCAGAAACTCATTGCGATGCTTAAGTATATCCAAACCAGACTGAGTTCTCCATATGTATTCCACATATGCATGAAAATTTGCCTCATCTCTCCCTCTAAAGTTACTCTCTGCTTATCTATTTTGTTAACTATGAGGCTCAGTTTGGAAATAGTGACAGCTTGGGGACCTCAGAGTCTCTGTTTGGGTACTGCTGGAATTTAACCAGCTAAAAATACATAGCTTGTCTGGCAAGCTTCCCCCTGCATGTCCAGCTAGGATTTGACTTTCAGGGTTAATAGAAGCAGAGGCGGAAGAATCCTGGTCATTGACTGATTTGCCAAGTGCCTTGAGGCGTCCTCCCGACATGAAATGCGCTATATGAATGTAAACTAATGTATTGCCCCTCCCAAGTGCTGCTGCAAGCAGGTTATATTGTCTTGGAGTGCCTTGGAGTACAGTGCAACAACCTTGTTCGGGAGACATACTCCTGAGACCACCATAGAGAATCGATCCAAGGAGGGTAAAAGGAACAAACGAAAGATATACTGCTTCCAGCTTCTCTTGTATAATAAAATACAGGTTTGATAAGTTACATTCAAGCTTAGTAAAAATAGAATTATTTTTAATTTGCTTACTTTCATTGACAGGTTCATAAATGCATTGCTCATTTCAATTCACTGAAGACTCTGAACAGGCCCATTTGTGAAAGAAATCCAGAATGAAATTTCTCAAATTTGGTGAAGCATCACGTTATCAGGGATTGGATCTTAGATGAGCAAACAGGGATGCACAGATGGCTTTGTTGGCCACTACTGAAAAGAAGCATTGTATTCTTAAGAGTATTGAGATACTGTTATGAAATTGTGCAAATAGCAACATTACAAAATCTCCATCCAAAAAAAGGTCATGTGGCAGTTCTTCCATTCCAGGCAAAGAAGGAATATCTCTAAAATGTGTGTACAAAGATAGTTTACAATCTAGAGTGTCTATAACTATAATCTGTAACTAATCTATAACTTTTCCTTTATTTTGGTAGTACGTGTGGGGGGGAAAAGATGTACAATATTTGTCAGTAATCATCAAAATGTTTGAATATTTTTCAATAACTGACTTTATTGAAACAATTACAAATATTCCTCTTTGTGAAAGAGAATAAGGATGGAGACTGTTTTGCTTTATGTATTCTGAATATTATATATTAGCACATAAAAATTCTATTTTGTCCCTGTAATGACCATAAAAAGGTACCATAAACTAGCCCTTTAAAGAACAATGTACAGTAATAATGGAACATTTCCAAATGTTATTAATTTAAGGAAGGAATTTAGTGTCGTATCAAAAGATCACTGTGCAAGTTAGCAACTGCAGAGCTATAACTGCCTGTTATAGCACAATGGTTTGGGTCCATAAAGTTAGACCTCACTTTATTTAAAAAAAAGTTACCCCGGCAATATAAGTGGACCTGTGCTAAAGTGGCCAAGTGTTTGTGTGTAACAATGTGCAATATTAAGCCAATAAATACTGATGTTTTTCATGATCAGTATAAGTTCCCAGCCACCCATATAGAACAATGGTGAAAAAATGTACTCAAAACAAACATTATGGTCCAGTCAACATAAATTATATTCAAGTCTGGCAAATTGCTAGTTTCTCAATAAAAATTCACGGTAGTGTTCCTTTCTGAATGTTTTAGATACTGCCACTATAATATTTCAAACTTGTATAAAGTGTATAAAATGCCACTTTAAATACAAAATAATTGGAAGTATACATTTTACAAAAGAAAATGATCTAATTTGTCCAACTTAAATATTTACCTTCAGTATTTATTGATGCATCTCAAACAAGTCTTTCATTTGAGGAAAGACATTATTAATTACTACCAGTGTATGG